CCTAACGTTCTGTGATTCTGTGATTCTCTCTAGTTTAAACTGAGCCTCTTTTGGGGACGCTCTCAGGTTTTGTTCTCTTGCTTTCTGGTAGTTTGGATCAGTTCCTGCAAGGATTTTGTGAGATGCCAGATTGCACAGGTGACAGATTGCAAGTTCCGTCATTGCTTCCGTACTAGCAGCAGAAAACTTTTCATCCTGTTGCTAAATGTGATCAGATTTGCATTATACATAATGCTGTAATTGACCTGTAAGCACTGGATAGTGTATTTTTAATTATTCCTTTATTAAACTGGATTTTGAAAGAAAAGAAAATGCCAAATTTTCAAGAGCACCTTGATTCAATAAGATCTACTGGATTTAGCTGAGAAGTGTTGCAAAGGAGATGGTGTTCTGTATTTGGCCTGATGCACTGAATAGCAGTCTTACTTAAAAAGCTTACTTTAATGTAGTCAATCATTTACCAAAGTGATTGTGCATTCTTTAGCTGAAGATCTCATTTAATCAGAGAACCAATTTTTGCCAGTTTACATCTGTAGTCAGTTTAAGTTTTTTTTTAGTGAAGAGCAATTCAGGTATCCTTAAACCTTAGCTACATACTAAAAGCACTATTAACATGTCACATCGTGGCTGTGGTTAACCCTAGGGACAGAGAGCACCCTCCATGGGGACTCCTTGTCTTTGTCCTTAGAATGATATAATGGTTTTGTTTGGAAAAGACCTTTAAGATCATTGAGTCCAACCATTGAACCAGCCCTAAGTCTGCCGCTAGACCATATCCCTAAGCACAACATCTAGTTGTCTTTTAAACACCTCCAGGGATGGCGATTCAGTCACCTCCCTTGTTTGGCATTTATTCAGGTAAGCAAGCAAGATGTGTCTGATCTTTTCCAGATGCATCCAGCTGCTTCCTCTTAGTCAGCTGTGCAGGTCAGTGTGTTGAGGTGAAACCCCATTTCACCTACAAGCCCCTGCCCCTTAACAAGTAAACAGGTGAAAAAGGAATTGGGGAGTCTCTTTTCTGTTGAGAGCTGGCTGTTTTGTTTTTTTAGTTGAGGTGAGAAGACGTGTCCTTCCCCTTTACCTCCCTGAATGAAGTCAGACATTTAGACATGACTGTGCCCTAGATATGAAAATACTGGAGGCTTAAAAATTGGATATACCTCAAAGTAAGCAGTTGTCCAGTATTTAGAGAAAAGAGCTATGTGATAGAATTAGTAACATACTTAGAAGATATAGGCACACAGTTTTCTTTCCCAATGTCTATATATTCCTACACAGGAACTCATGGCACCAAAGAGCAAATTTAGTTGCAAACATTTTCTAAGCCAGTCTGTCAGTCCAGTTTTCTGCTTCACCAAGAAATGAAAAAGCTGCTACTTTCATAAGGAAATCATGCTGCTTCTGTTTAGCGTCAGTATTAAAAACTCAAGGGAATGCTGGCAACCCTTTTGAGACCCTGACTGCCATGGGTAACTGGTGGTCATTACATTTCTTTCAACTTGGTAAGACTGAAAGCCATATATTTTCTTAGTGTTTCACTGATTTTAAGATGAAAAGGATGCAATTAATTTCTTTTAGTTTTGTTTTTTTTTAACAACATTACTTGTCGTAAAGGTAAAATATAGCACATGTTTCTCACAGTTAACTTCATTTTTGTTTTCTGTCCAAGTTGGATAATGGAGACGAGCAAGCAGCCCAGATCAGGCGTGAACTAGATGGACGACTACAATTGGCAGAACAAATGGCAAGGGTAAGTCTCTTTCATGTACCAAAAACATCTTCATGCGAGACTGAGTAGGACAATATATAGTTTGTGTTTCCAGTTTCTGATTCTAAAATTAAGCAGAAGACCATCTGAAAACAGTCTGGCAGATACATTTCTTTCTGCTGTGGCATATCTGTGTCAAGAGGGGTAAGGAGAAAGCAAAACTTGGTTTTGGAGTCATACACTGTGTGATCCTATGTTTCCTTCATCGATAAGTCCAGTGGTGAAACAAAGATTATGTTATTTACACATTTGGGATTATGTATTTTGGAACTAAAGTAAGTCATCTTTTATATACATTACTGCATTGTGCTGTGCTTATGGTATAACAGTAATGTTTATGTCTTACTACAGGTTATATGTAATATACTTTTAAAGTATATATAATATACTTTATAGATTAAGTCTTATCTTCATAATGGTTATATTGGTATTGCAAGCAATGAAGTATGAGTGAGTCTTGTATGATTGGGTAAATTATAAATTCTTTTTCTAAATTTTAGAAAGCCAAGCCTATTTTTTTCTCATATAACTTGTGTTTTATTTCAGTGGACACAATTATGCCCTTCTATATCAAATATCACAGATCAGAATTGGTATTGTCCCCAGCCATGTCTTACTAAATTTTGGGGAAAGACTCCTTTTTCTCAGAAAGGCAGTGTCAAGTCTCTTCAATTTTCTGTGAAGCTTGGGTTTATAATCAAAGTTGTTCAATATTCCTGTGTTTGCTCTCTTGCCTTCTTGCCTTTAGCTCCAAAAGTTACCAAATACTAGAAGCATGTATGTTATACTCTGTGTGTGCAGAAAAAAGTATATTTTATTAATATTATATTATTTGTAAAATAGGTAAGATTGGCTTGTTTCTTTAAAAGGAAGAAAATGTAATTTAGGTCTATGAAGTTCATAAATAACAACTTGGAGGTTTAATCTTCCTGAAAAAGAAAATACTGTCCATAAAAGTTTCCAATTCATTTTAAAGCAAGTGAAAATTATGAGCACTATTTAAACCATGTAAATCTTGTTCATTCTGTCTCTAATGTACACAGCTGTAGATTTTCTAACAAAAAATGTTATTTATCCATTTTCTACCCAAACCATTACTGGAAAATTGTCAAGGCTGCCATGGTGTTAACTGCACGGTTTTGCAGAGTAAGAAACTCCATGTCGGATATGGTACATTCAAGTCACAAATGAGAGTTTTTAAGCATCTCTTTTAAACTACATAAATTGCGGGGTTTCTTCGTGGTGCTAAGGAGTTAGGTTAATCCTAATTCAGGCAGCTGTGAGAACTCTTAAAGTCATTTAAGCCTAAGCAATCAAATGCTGCAAAATATGAACTTTATTCTCAGAGCTTAAAAATAAATTAAAAAGCTTTTTGATACTGGATTATGTATTCTAGCATTTTTGTTGGTAAAGAGAAGGGTTTTTAGTGATTACCTGCCTGTAAAAGAATTATTAAAATGCACTTTCTAAAAGTTCTGCACAACTAAAGAGAAATCTCTGCATAAAGCTTTTTGTTGTTGTTGAGGTCTCATTCATGGCTCCTATAATACTTTACTTGCTGACTTTAAAAATTGTTAATTATATATGAGAAGTTTATTTTAGCAGAAAAGATAATTTAGCCTATTTAATGGAGGCAAGAACCTTAGAAATATGTTCATCTATGACAGAAAAAAATGAATGGGTAATTTATGCATCTACTTGCCCATCTCTTTCTTCATATGACTAAATTTAAGTAGTTCAAATCAAAATATATATGACCTAATATGGTTTTCTCCCTATTGTAACTGGTGCTATGCTTTTCTAAGGCAAATATTTATGTGATCCTAAGAAGAGACCACCCATTGTCTTTTCTCCTTGATAAATACATCCTGAAAATCTGTTTTACTACTCTCAGGATCCAGATGTAGAGGCTAGTGTGTACATCAGCTCGATCAGTGTCTCTCATCTGTCCTCAGGGCCTTTGTTTCAGGATGTATTCCCAGTACGTTGCAATCAGAATTCCCAGAACTCCAGTGTTGTGCTGGGGGATGTGTTCTTCAGACAGTCTGGGCTTTTCAAATCAGTTTAATTGCATTCCTCTGCATACGCACTAAAAAATAGTGGAAAACCTCCACTGTTCTTCTTGTGTCTCTAAATTATTTTAAATATTAAGTGCAATATTTGAGCAATTTGTTACAAATTCACCATCTTAAAAAAGCAAATAAAAGGGTGGGAAAAGCATCTTAACAAAAGGAAAGATCTTTTAACAACATAATAAGAGTCTGTCTTCTCTGTCTTCTGTGTTGGCATATATATATTTGAATGATCCTCACAGATACGGTACAGTTTGAAAAACACTCTGAAGTGAGGGGTTTTTTTGGCTAGAGCACCCTGAACCTGTCTCTGGCTCTGTACTGCTGTACTGTGACAGACCACTGGGCTTGCTGCAGGTGTTTTGGGTCACAGTCAGCTTGGTTGGTCTTCTTTATTGAAACAAAAATTATAAAGGTTTTACATTAAAACATTTTTGTGATACTCCTGATAACAACTGACAATATAAATTGTCTGGTTTAGGAGCAAAGTGACTACCTTTGCAGACAATACATGGGGAGCAGTGTTTGTGTCTCATTTATACATAAAACGTATATTTTAGAATAATTTATTTGTTTCTCATTTATACATAAAACGTATATTTTAGAATAATTTATATTTTTAAGTGACATATTTTTCCAAGCTGCCCTATATTCAATATCGGGAAGAATCTGTGAATAAAATTGTCTCTGTGCATGTTCATATGTGGATTACATGTGTTTACATTTTCCCTGTCATAAATGCAATATTTAAACACTGTCCTAACTCCTACGGATGAAAAAAGTTATTTTTAAGTTCTCACTAGCACTTATGTTTAAAATAATCCCTTGCATACTAATTCAGCATTACTTTCAAAACGAATGACCTATTATTAAAAATAGAAATATACAATGTCATCATTGTAGTTTAACAGCTTTATGTTAGAAGCACGAATGTGATTGACTTATTTTTGGTAGCATGGGAAATGGATGAAGTAACAAAATGATTAGCGGATGGTTCATTTTGTCAACTTATAAAATATTTTAAGGTAACATTAAAGGTAAATTGTCAATTGATACACTTAAAACACATGCATTAGAAATATGCAATGTGTGCATATTCAGCCTGGCTTTATAGTCAAATGATTCAAGGGGCAAGAGGAGGGGCAAGAGTTTCCATTTTTACAAATGCTCCTTTAATTTTTTGACATTACCAAAGAGTTATTTTTGTCTACTGTTATTATTGTCTACTACTATTATTTTATCTACTACTTGAGGAATAAGGTGGAATTCTCAATTCAAATTACATTTCTTCCTGTCAAAATTAACTGTATTTATTGGTCGGTATTAGCCTTCCCCTCACTGTTTTGAAGATGTAAAAATAGACACTGGAATTAAAACTTTTATTGTTATTAAATACTTCTTAACTGAGGGCAAATCAGTAAATAAACATGATGTATAATATGGGATGTTTTTTTTTTCCTCCCTAACTTTTAAAATATATCTTCCAAGGAAAGAAAATTCCCGAAATTCGTAACAAGAGAAATGGAGAACATGTACATAGAAGAGTTGCGGTCTTCAGTGAATTTGCTGATGGCAAATTTGGAAAGTCTTCCAGTGTCTAAAGGTGGGCCAGAATTTAAACTGCAGAAGTTAAAGCGATCACAGAATTCTGCATTCTTGGACATCGGAGATGAAAATGAAGTTCAGCTGTCGAAGTCTGATGTGGTTCTCTCCTTCACATTAGAGGTAATCAGATACTTCACAGAAAACTTGCTATGATTTAAATTAGAATAATATCTATGTCTTGATACTTTTTTGTTATTAGTCCTTCCTTGGTAATTTTAAAATTTAATGTGCAAAAAGTAAATTATTCTTTGTCTCTTTGGTAATTAGGAGTTAGAATACAGCTATATGATGTATTTTCCCTTTGCAGCAGTAGTTGCATTTGGGTCCATACAGCGGTGTGGGCAGTTGAATCTCCCACACAAATGTAACTTCAAATGAATTCCAGTACATTAAATACCTAAGGATACTTTTGAATGTGATAATGAAACACTGCTGTTATCAAGAACAGAGAAATTACTTATCCCGCTGTATGCAATTTTCATATTACTAGCTAATAATATAAAAGCCCCGCATCAACTTTTAAAGAGTAGTAAGATCCATCATCCTGTATGCCAAAAGTACTAGTTCATCAAGCATGTAAAACTGGAGTGCAGGCCGTAATGAAATATATGAAATAATAAAGTAGTTTTCAAACTTTGCTGAGTCCTATGCTTCTCCATCATATTTTCTGTGTCTGCCTTAAATGAAATACCAAGCCTGGAATGCTCCATAAATAGAAATAACAAAGACTAGTTCTGAAGCACCTAAAAGGTACCTGAAAAGCTTTGTCAATAGTATTTTCTGTCTTCAGGAAAGTTAGCTTGGTGAGGGATAGAAGAAGAAGAAAAAAAGCTTTCTCTGTGCCTCTAGAGAGAATTATTAAATATGTACTAAAAGTGATGTGATATCTTTGGGAAAAGTACAGTAAGACTGAAACAATCATGAAGTGAAAAATGGCAGAACGTACAATTTCTGGTAAATTTGGAAGAGCATTGCTTTGTTTACAGCCCTTCCCCTCTCACTCAGAAATGTAGACTATTAAGTCTGGTAAACTTTGCTTTTTTTCCCATCACTGATAAAGAAAGCACACAGATGTTGTGCAAGGTTAGTAATCTATAGTTCCTTCTTTGCAAGGCAAAGAATTGAAAGTGTTAGTCTACACGTAGCAGTTTTTAGTAGCGCAAATTTTCATTTGAAACACAGTGTTAACCTTATAAGTTGAGTTTCATGATGCACAAGAATGTGCATATCTTACTCTTGGGAAGCTAAATCTCAGAGGATATAAAGGCAAAAGGAAACAACTGAACTGATATTCATTTAGACTGAAACATGGAAGATCTGCTCTTTTTTATGCAAATGGACAAATAAGAAAAGTTGGTGGCATTTCCTTGGAGACAGTACTTGATTTTTGGAAAATGTGAGGTCATATGTGCACAATTTAACATTAGTTTAATAATGGGGAAACATATCCATGTCACATCTTATGTGGTGTGACTTAACTAAATTTTAGGGTAGCCAGCAAGATCCCCATGGAAGGCTGATACAGAGGCATGTGAACAAACAGGAAATCCGTAACATGTCTAAACATTAGGTCACAGTATAAGAACTCAATGATAATTTCATGGCGGGGGGAAAGTGGCTGGAGTTCATACTGCCACTGCATGTTTTTATTAAGACAGAACAGGAAAAGCTGATCGTAATATTTATAATGTTCTGATGGGACTGGACCTTGCTGACTAAGACAAGAGGCACCCCTGTGCATCTCTGCAAGCAGCAGTGGCTCTTTTTGCTAGTTGGATGTTTCCTCAAATAGCCTGTTTGCAGAAATTTGTAAAATAAATAAATAATATATCAAAGTAGTAGGAGAAGACTTAATCACTTATGTTCTTCAGCTGTTGGACGGTTTCAGAAATAGTCAAGAAATATTTAGGAAGCTGTGTATCAGCTAATGAGCTAGTAAATCAGCTAGTGACAGTTTCCTTCCTAATGAAGTGCAACTTTTTTCCATTGCTGGAATCCAGAATGCTGCAAAAGACAAATGTACTGTGCAATTAAATTGGAAACTCAAGGAAAAAGTATTAACTTAAAAATGAATAAACATTAAGTCTGCATTCAACAAAGACATACATTTGGCATGTGGAAAGATCATATAGGCAGTGTTAGCTAGAAGGATCTCTAGTGCAGTCTGTCAGTGATCATTGCTCACTTTGATAACTACTTGAATTCCTGGACCATGAGAGATAGAGAAATGATTACATCATTCTCCCTGAATTGCTGTTATTATTTATAAATTGTAATAAGCATAATTTATGAGTAATGTAAAAATGTTCTAAATGATCAGTGACTGTCATCTCACTGTAATGTTACCAAACTAGCAATTTTACAAGACATCTAACTATTGCTAAGGTTCTGGGAGTTTTACAGTACAAAGCATTTTACAGCTAGGGTTGAAGTCTGGCTTAACATATTGAATTGAAACAAACTGGCAAATATGCAAACAGTTTAATAGCAAAATATTTTAGTAGTTGCTTGCTGATCTAAGAAACCAATTGCCCCTAATGAGACCAAAAGTAGTCATTAATTTTGTCAACTTTAAAACAATGAATTCAGTTTATATGGTGCTGGTTTTGGTGGCAGAGGAGGGGCCTGGGGTGACTCCTGTGAGAAGCTGCTGGAAGCTTCGCAGCCACCTCTGGCTGATTCTGAGCCAATCAGTGCCTCTACAAATGATATATTTAAGAGAGATGCAGTGCATGGCCTGGCCTCAACCAATGTGACCCCAACACAGGCAGCATGGGCCGGGTCCAGCCTGAGCCTAAGTCCTGCTGCAGCACCAGCCCAAGAGCTGGGAACTCTTCAGGAATCAGCCGAAGAAACCTTCAGCGGAGAGAGGAGTGGGATGTGAGGGAAACAACTGTGCAAACACTAAGGTCCGTGAAAAAAGAAGGGGGAGGAGGTCACCTGGAGCACAGATTTCCCTGCAGTCCATGGTGAGATGGCAGGTTGACCCACCTGCAGCAGTGGAGAGATCAGAGAGGTAGCAGAGATCCACCTACAGCCCATGGAGGCCCATGCTGGAGCAGGTGGCTGTACCTGAAGACAGTGACTCCATGGGAAGTCCATGCAGGAGCAGTCAGTGGGAAGGACTGCACTCTGCAGATGAGACCCACACTATAGAGCAGTTTGTGAGGAGACTGCAACTCATGTGAAGGGCTTACATTGGAGAAGTTCGTGGAGGACTGTCCCATGTGGGAGGGGCCCCACATTGGAGCAGAGGAAGAGTGAAAGGAGCCCTCCTTAGGCCTGAAGAGGAAGGATTGGCAGAAACACCATGTGATGAATTGACCATAACTCCCATTCACCCTGCACTACTGAGGGGAACAAGGTAGAGAAATTGGGAGCAAAGCTGAGCCCAGGAAGAAGGGAGGGGTAGCAGGGAAGGCATTGATTTTAAGATCTGGTTGTATCTCTCATTATTCTCTTCTGATTTGACTGGTAACAAATTAAATTGTTCTGTTTTCCCCAAGTCGAGTCTGTTTTGCCCGTGACCATAATTGGTGAGTGATCTCTCCCTGTCCTTGTCTCAACCCACGAGCCTTTGGTTATATTTTCTTCTCCTCATCCCACTGGGGCAGGAGTGAGCGAGTAGCTGCGTGGTGCTCAGTTGCCCGCTTATTTTAAACCACAACAAATAATCAAGCAAATATTGGTTTTCATGTGTAGTTCAGTTGAGGACAGCTTCTCTGCTGATTGAATCATCTACATTTTTTCAGTTTTTTCTCATAGGTCCAAATGGGACTGGAAAGCAAAGCAGCTTTTTCAAGGCAGGCAGGGAAACCTGACTTTTTTCTCACATCTTCTCTGAATTAGAAACATCCAAACTGTAAAAATTCCAATAATTTCACACCGTGACAAACTCTAACATTTATAAAAGGCAGAGAGCAGTTGAAGTAGGACTGCATTTGGCTCTTGTGAGCTAGAACTGAGTAGCTCAGAGGAGCTGAAAAACTATGGGATCTGCCAAGCTCAGAATTTCCCTGGTGAGGGAATTTAGCAAGGCACAGCTGGTAGAGGTGGCTTTTTTTCCTTTCTCTTTAACATCCCCATATCCATGCCGAACCTGACTGCAAAAAGTGAGCTGGAAGAAGGAAAAGGGGTAGGCAGCAGGCAGAAAAAAAAATAAAGCAGGTGATAGCGATGCTCTGACCTGCCTCATGCTCAGCACAACACCAAACTGCTTCTGAGACTCAACCTCCGGTGTCACAGTACAATGATTAACCTTTCAAAATGTGATCAGTGCCCTTACTTGTCTTGTTTACAGTCTGACTTTGTAACCTCTTCATTCTGTAAATACTTATTTGGATGACTGTTTATAAAGATACATTTCCTTGTGTATTAACATTTATAATTATATTTAGACATTAGTCTCAAATTCAACTGCTAGCATTTAAATTATGGGTTGGAGTGAGTTTTTGGTCATTGTCCAAGTAGAAACACAGCAAAAATGTCAATTTCTACTATATGTTGTTGAAAGTGGGAAAAGGTGGCAAAATTAAAACTCTTTCCTGTCTGTGAAGATTTGAGTGGGGTTTGGGTATTGTTTTCTTTTTCTTCTTTTTTTTTTTCTTTTTCCCCTGCATGGGGTTTAGTTCTGCAATAGCTATGTGATATATTGTTTTCTGAAGGATAAACTATTTGGTTTCTTTTCCTCAGATTGTTATAATGGAGGTGCAAGGTTTAAGGTCAGTTGCTCCCAATCGAATTGTCTACTGCACCATGGAAGTGGAAGGGGGTCAGAAGCTTCAGACGGACCAAGCAGAAGCTTCCAGGCCACAGTACGTCACTCTGCTATCACTGCATCCACCATCTCTTTCCTTCATATAATGGAAGAGCCTCACTGAGTATCTTTACAGATTTTATATTTAAGTTAGCACGAGGTTATATGAAGTTTTGTCCTGAGCAGTTATCTTAAATTCTTTCTGAAAAATGAAAATACACATCATAGTTGTTTATGGTGAAGTAAATACAAAGTGTGAAAGCTGTCCAAATAAATGCCATTGAGTGTGTGAGGAAAAGAGCTGGAGATTGCAGCATTGTGTTCTTACCTGCATCCTCTGAAAACACAAGCCTCTAGATAGATGGTTAGCCCGAGGTGGTTTTATATATTCTAGGTTAATGTGCAGGTGGCCTTGTGGAGTGTAACTTGTACAATTGGTGGAAAATCAATACTCGGTAATCAATCTTGACAAAGCTTAGTCACCTGCTGAGACTATTTCATTTTAAATTATAGGATCCACTTCTTTCAGTTAATTTTTGAGGAAGGCAGTCAGCAAACTGACTTGGACAGGTATAACATCATGCCATCTGTAGCTGAACCAGTCAGAGTGGGAGAGAGGAAGAAAATTAAGTGTATTTTTTTGGTTGATTTGTTTGACCTTACACACTGACTTCAGACACTTTTCTCTGTTGAAATATCATTTGAAATCTTTTGTAGATAACTTGCCAGGCAGCATGTTGGAGTCTTACTGGCACCATAGTGTGCCTTGTGAAAGACAATTTTAAAATTGCAGTTGTTACAGTATCTGAGAAAATATCTTCAACAGAATTGGGATGGTAGTTTCTATTCCATTCAGACCACAAATATGGACTTCTTTTAGGCAAAATTGTAAACACAGAGTTTTATCTGCATCTTCTGAGGTTGGGAGGAGGAGGAGATATAATTCGTAGAACTTTCTCCTACTTTCAGCAAATTTCCTTGGTAAGTAAGCCGGCAGCCTACTCCACTAACATATTCAGACAGCTCTGCAGAGCTCTGCATATGTGGGACAAGATGTGAAATTCACTCTTCACAGTCCCTGGCTGTGTTCCTTCTCCAGGGCATAGGAATGCTCGGTCTTACCATTTACATGTAGTACGTCAGGAACTTCTAAAAGCAATGGTAGTGTAGAAGACATATAGATAAATGAACTGAAGCAAGGTCATAAGTGGGTATGCAACATCTCCTGCTCATTTTTTGACCTGTTGGGTTGTTCTCTAATGGCTTGAGTCCCATGAGAGTCGCTAGGCTTTCTCATGGAGGGCACATCTCCAAGCTGTGCTTTCTCTTCAGACTCAGAGCTGCTGTCATCCTGTTCCCTGCAACAAGTACCTCCAACCTTTGCCTACTGTCACAGTCAAGGTTCCTGTTTCTTCTGGTGTGTCTGTCTTTTTCTTACCCTTGGACTTGTTAGATCCTGTTTTAAATGCTTGATTAACCCCTGTTATCATGTTATGGGTCTTCAAATCTCCTTAAATCAGCTAGAATACACAAATTCTTGAATCTTGGGGACAGTTATTCTGCTTCCAGAAAACAGTTTGTAAATATATATTTTTTTTTCCTCTCTAGCTGGTTCCAGATATGGTGGACAAAACATGGTAGGGATGGGTCATGGTCAGTTCATGGTTTACTTATTACATACTGAGGGTTGCAGGTTAAGGTAAGGTTGCAGGTTTTACAATGAATCAGAAGATATACATTGTGTATAGATATATCTGTTAAAAGTTAATAACACATTAGTTGATTTTCCTACCTTTTGAAGTAGAAAGTTTGTGAAAAGGAAGTTCCAGAATAGATGAAGTCAACATGAGAAGAACTGGAGTGCTTCTAGGAAAAGAGGTAATGTTGGGACCTGCTCTGAGCTTGTAAACTGGTTTAGCAGATTTCAGGCTCAATGAATTGATTGGATATGGGAGAAAGACAGGTTATAGGCTATTCCATATAACTGATGTTGTATGAACCAAATCAATATGGATTTGTAGGGGAAAAAATATGCATCTTTTGGAAGTGGGTGACTGGGAGATGACCTGAACCATACACTGGAAGGACAGGAATGGGAGGCACTGGGTCTGTTGCCTTGCTGTCCTACAAAGCAGTGTAACTTGAAGGCACACAGCTGACAGAGCTCTAAAATCTCTCTACTTTCTGTGCTGAGTTGTACTTGTCTCCATTTCTGGCAAGAGTAATTATGAGACATTGGCATACAGTATGATTATGAGCATATAGAGACATGTAGTTTATCAGCATATGTAAAGCTGTAGTTTAAGGCAACGGAGGAGGATATTAAATTAGACAAGCATGTAATTAGCAAATTATGGACAAATAGTAAATAAGATGAAAGTCACTGCCTATGGAATGGGAGATCCTTTATTCCACCATTTAATTTTTATGTTACAGCCAAATCAGGTTTTTTTGACAGTAGCAATATTACTCTTTTTTTTGTTGGTGGCAGAGGGAACTAAGAGGGCTTGGCAGAGTTCAATCAAAAAATTTCAGTGGCCTAGGAAATAGTGTTATAAGCAGGGAGGAGTCCTCATGTTTCAGAAGACTTAAAGTGTCTCTCTCTTTTCTCTTTCCTGTCCCAGCCTGTGTCCAGGCCTTCTACAATCTTTATTTCTTTTATGACAAACACATCCTTGTCCCACGCAGTCCTCTGCCTCCTTTTGCCCTCAGCTTCTTCCAGCACTCATCACTAATCTCTGATGGGGACCTGCTGGAGTGATGGGAAGGCCCAGTCACTGAGTGAAGGATTGGATGTTCTCCTGCAAAGAGGAGATATGAGAAGAGTTAGAAACAGAAATTTCTTTCTGCTCCTGGTGATGTTAGTAATGGTACTACTACTGAGGAAAGAGGTGCCTCCCTTCCCCCTTGGTCCTTTGGAAGCAATGGACAAAGTCATGTAAGTAGAGGCCAGTGACCAGCTGGGCAAGCACAGCCAGTCCACCTCTTTCCTGATACAGAAAAACAAGCTCTCAGCTGCCCTAGGCTGCTACCTGCTTTACCTGCTGCTGGAGCTGGCTCCTTCCTGGGATAGTTTTCAGTACTGTCATTTTGATATGAAGGAAAACAGTCAGTGAGACTGGAGGAGAAAACACAAAATTCATGGCAAAGAAAAGAAAAGAATCAAGAACTGTAGTTCAGCTCAAGTCTTCAAATCACTAGCAGTAACATATTTGCACTGACAAATCCCAGATAAATAAGAACATAACTTCATATTTTATATAGGACATGCAACTAGAAAAAGGTAGCAAAGCACTCATACTAAGAGTAGAATGAGACAGTGATGAGAAGTGACTGATTACCACCAGCCTGCTGTGGGGGACTGCTGGCAAGAGCTTCACATCATGTGCTTGTCACACACAGTTTCTGTAGTTGGTTTATCGTTTTGAACTGGTGGATACATTTGTGAAGAGAAGCAGTATAAGGAATTATTTATGGCTGGTTTTTTCATCTGCAAAACATCAGTGTGTGCAGTGCAATGCTACTACTCAGTCAGAAGTTTCAAAAGCTTTGCGAGTGGAAAGGAGAAAAGAAGATGCTCAGATAAATGCTTCAAAATGGAAGCACAAGCCAATGTGACTATAGAGGGGAGGTTAATGGGAGCATGAATCAAGTGGTGACTTAATTCAGGATTTATCTACTACTCCAAAACACTGGATATTTTCTCAGTTATTTTTATGAATATGTATTTAAGTATTCCTCTGAATCCTTGAATGCTTCCATAAGAGCAATAAGGAAATCAGAAACAATATTCTTTCTTAAAGGGGAAAGACCTAATTAGACTCCTAGAGAGGAGAGCACAGTTTTTATCAGTAAGAAATATTTTCTGGTTTCTTATTGATTTTAACCCCTGTCTGCTTTCTCTCTCTTTGAATAACTTTGTGAGTTTATATTGAAGAACTTAATTTTCTTTTTTAACAAGCTAAATTAATCACTGTTTATATGTATGTTATGGAGTAGCTAATGGTTATTTAAAGGTGCAAACAATTTGACTGAGCTTAAGGCATGGGCAATTTTACAAACAGATCAGGTATACAACATCACATACAAACCTTATAAAATTTTTATTACTGTCTGCAAAAATATTTCTTCATTCCTTCCAACTGTTTCCTGCCTTTTAGCCCAGCTGAAAATCCCTCCAACACAGCCCATGACCTTTTCTGCGAGAGATCAGTAAGCAGCACCTTGAGAGGTCCCCTTCAGTTGTATGAAGCTTTGCATAACTTTGTTGCTGTGACACCACAGGGGAGTCATCTTGCAAAATCCAGTGCTAATTTCATTTTTCAAATGTTACTGCTGTGGCTTAGTTTTTAGTCATGTGGAGTCTGGTGGCAAAATGTTTTCTTATCCTTGAGTTTTATTTGTTCTGAGTGTTAAATAATGTGGTTTCTTGAAAGTGTTGTGTTTTGGGTATGTATAATCATGCCTAAAGACGAAAGGTGGGAATATGCTATCTTTTATCATTGCAAGTGACATTCTGTTGTCACATATTTATGGAATAGATCATCTTGCATGATTAGAAAATTTTAGTGGAGCCAGGATACTCTTCATGTAAACAAGATAAAAATTCTTCATAAAGGAAGATAAAAAGAGGGTTGTGTTTTGCTGCCAGTGATTGCATAACCTTATAAAAAAGCCTATTATATATTAGAAGTATGTGAAGAATGCATGATTAAATATCTGACCAGAGGAACTAGGGAACCTCGGTCAAGACTACACAAATAAAGTTAATGCTGTTCACATTATTTATATGCAGCATTCAACCGTCATTAATTCCATAAAGGATTTGAAATATAAGTACTTGTGGATACATAATTGAAGATTACTTAGCGAAAAATTTATAGAATAGTTGTTTTTTTAAAAAAAAAAAGAAAAAAGGCTTAATTCTAAAATGTAGAACTTCCTTCCACAACATGGTTGTGCGTGAAAAAATATTTTTTTTTAAAGGAATGTTTTGAGGATATGGCCTAAGATGACATTTCTGAAGGGAAAAAGGATAGACAACATTTATAACAATCA